TTGACCCATCATGGAATTATAGTTCGTATGACCTTGAAAAGTAAGGTTTGTTTGGTTTGACGTTTGCAATTCATCGTACTTAAACCATCGACCTACTTCGATATTTCGAATCGAGTTACTTGATTGAAATATTGGCGTACGTGTTCTGTGGCACGTTGACCTGCAAGGCGTGGTAGCGTTGAATGTACAAATACATTAATTTGTCTCAAATATCGTTAAAGGTTGAATTTAAGTAAAACGACCGTAGACCTTACGCCAACTTGAAGATCTGAAGCCTGTCATAACTAAAATACTTATTTATTTACTCGGGAATAGTAAATATAGACAATTTGTAAATTGAGAACTTTAGGCTGTTTTTGTTACTGTCTGGCATACTAAACAACATAAGGTTTCTTAATAACTAAGAACTTTGACGTACGTGGTTTACGATGAATTTCAGATTATTGCCCAGAGACTATAGGATGAAGAAAGTTTATTAAAAGGTCACACAATATCACAATATGGTAACTCAAAAGTGAACTTAAACTTCTATCCTTTCCTATAAAGACCTCTATCCCATCCAATGCTATTTTGTAAAGACCTCTATCCTATCCTATGCTTTTTTGTAAAGACCTCTATCCTATCCTATAAAGACCTATATGCTATTCTATAAAGACCTCTATCCCATCCAATGCTATTTTAAAAGACCTCTATCCTATCCTATGCTTTTTTGTAAAGACCTCTATCCTATCCTATAAAGACCTATATGCTATTCTATAAAGACCTCTATCCCATCCAATGCTATTTTATAAAGACCTCTATCCTATCCTATGCTTTTTTGTAAAGACCTCTATCCTATCCTATAAAGACCTATATGCTATTCTATAAAGACCTCTATCCCATCCAATGCTATTTTATAAAAACCTCTATCCTATCCTATGCTTTTTTGTAAAGACCTCTATCCTATCCTATAAAGACCTATATGCTATTCTATAAAGACCTCTATCCCATCCAATGCTATTTTATAAAGACCTCTATCTTATCCTATGCTTTTTTGTAAAGACCTCTATCCTATCCTATAAAGACCTATATGCTATTTTATAAAGACCTCTATCTTATCCTATGCTACCTTATACAGACTACGCTATCCGGATTGGATATAACGTGTGTTGGAAAATTTTAAAGTGATGATAACATTGCAATTTCCTTTATATAAACAGTTACTTATATGGTCGGACTACACAATCAACATTCAGTAGTATGTAAATAGAATGACATAACTATTACTGATTAATCTAGAACCCTTGATTGCCTTTTTCTAAATAAAACCATGATATTATATATGTACGTTTATATTTGCATTAATTATATGGTCTCTTTGTCGTATGCTATGTAAGTATTCGTTCCAAGTAGCTTCACTTCTAAACTAAAGCAACATGTATGCTTAAAATATACAAGAAAATAAACATATATTATATTAGAACATAAAAACTTCAAAATAGCCAAAAAAAATTAAACAGACAACCACAAAAAAAAATACTAAATAGAAACTTAAACCTCACTAGGAGCGTGATATAAATATTAAGGTGATACATGTATATCTATTGGATGCAGTACACTTGTTATAAGTACCCGTTTCGCGGCAATTTGGGCTGCTATCAAACAATGTTTAATAGCAGCCCAATGTTTAATACGATACAACAATTAATAAAAAATGAAAATATGTAACGATGAGAACAGTACAGGAAGGAACGGTTTTTCTCACGGATATAAGCTTATTGTTACTCATAGTCACTTTTTGCCATTTACATAAGCTAACCAATCAATCTCAATCTCAAACAAAAGCTCTCTAGGTAAGATTTAAATAATAATAATGGTAAGATTCCCGTGCGTGAGAAATTTAATTTTAGCATATAGGTTAGTTCCCACGAGTTATCGTTTCTGAATCCCACCCTCAGAGTCGACCATTAGCGCTAAGCATACTCCCCATAAATACTTATAGGATTTAACACCTCTAAATCTCATCATCATAAAATTAACATTATCAATCTTTAATTAGAGATTAAACCACTCTGAGTAGGTAATGATATTAAATTTACCTTAATATATCACGCTCTTAATAAGGTTTAAGTATCTATTTAGTTGTAGTTATTTTATTATGGTTGCTTGTTTAAAATTTTTCCTTGCTAGTGTAAAATTTTTGGGTTTTTACAATTGATGTGAATGTATGTAAAATTTGTGATGTCATATTTTCTTGTACAGATAACAATATTGTTGCTTTAAGAATAAATTTGGCTTGAATTATAAATAAGACTATTTGACTTTTAATTATAAAAATCCTTAGCTTAAACGTATTCACAATGTCCAATATTAATTGATTACACAATAACTGTGAGATCAACATTACATCATCGTACTCAAATATTTAAATACGTATTTCAATATTTACCACATAAGGTCCTTTAAAACACCCAGAGCATATTAAAGTGGTTTACATTATGAAAAATGCGTTCAAAGTTTTCCGTTTCTTATTAATAACCTTACATAAACCGTCTTCTTAGTAATGGCAAAATGATTTTCAAATAAGCTTCAAGCAATGGAGAAAAGGGTCACTAGGTTTTAATTGTGAACAAAGTTGGTGACAGATATATTTTGTTCTCTCTATCTCTCAATTTCGTCGTTCAGCTTAGATTAAAATTTCACGTTATATAAATTTATACTTCTTATGTAACTTGTCTTTTAATATATTCATTAACTTCATTTTATAATGCATAGCTATTAAGGTATAGATATTCTTATATAAAACTCACAATTTTGTATCGCGCAGCCCGGACATACAACGACCAATATTTTTTAAGCTATCGTGGAAAAATAAGTATTAAGAATATCCATAGCACAAAATCTCCTGCATCATGAGTATACCTTTACGTACATACCCTTACTTTGACTCCTTCACACATCAGAGCCAAAAAAGGTATTACTTAGTTAAATGTATTGAATAATTTTTATTGCTTTTTCCCTTTTTGTAAATAAAATGTATTCCATCTTTATTCATCGATATGCTATATTTTTAGTGTAAAATTGTTTGTTAACGAAACGAAACGAAACAAATAAATGAATAATAAAACTTTTATGTTATTACAAGCACAATTAGTATTATTAGTAACTCCTGTCAGCTAACAATTAAGTAATACAAAAGCTCAGCTCAGCTTCACGTTACTCTAAAACTAAAAAGCATGTTCGCGTAACGATTCTTTCTCATGTGAATGCTGTTAACAATGTGGACGAGACAATGGCTTTTCACGCCTCCTAATTTTGTTTTTATGTGAAGGTAACTCCGTTTGCAACGGTACCTCAATAGTAATTAACATACACTTAGGTTTTTGAATATTAATTAGAACAAAAATGGGCTAAACTAATAGTACGAGAGAAGGATTTGTATATTTGTTACGAATAAATTCAACTCGATTTTGAAATAATCCAAAAATGCTACCATATCCCAATAGTAACATGAGCTATAGCAAGCTGTGCGAAGCCGCGTTATAAATAAAGACATATAAATAAATATATAATTATCAATAATAATTGAATCTTTTGTTGCAAATGTACTGTTTTAGGTGCATTTTGGTAAGTAATTAATTATTTACCAAGCCGTGTATTAGAGTGTTGACTACGCTTACGCCCAAAAAAGCAAGAAAAAGTTCAATAGAAAATTAATATTGAAAGTCAATAAAAGATCATAACGGATATAGTAACGCTATCATATTAGAATTGTTAGTGAAAGTTCTTTCTCCTCATTGTATCTATAAATTATATATATAACTACATAGAAATCTACTCTATTTGTATTGTATACGGTCTACTCTAGTAGTCTTTGTTTGTAGAAATGACCGGCCCATCATGAGTAGTGTGAATAAACCTGTTTAAAAATTTCTCTCACGTATTAATTTTTACAGCGCTAACTGTAGAGTGTTCTTATTTCAATTTTATAAGGAAAACGATTTTGTTTTTATAATTTATACAAAAATATCACACACATCAACTTGACACAGGCGTTGGCTATTGTTATTCGTAATAGAGGACAAGATTGACAAACACGCCGATAGATGGCGCTGATGGGGTTTTAAAACGCGCTATCATTATACGTTACACGGAGTACATATTGAATCTGCAAATTATGTTAAGTTGCCATCAGAAGGGTCTTAACTGACTCGACTGAACAGCGAGTGATGATCTTGGAGATGAATCTTTGTGATTACACCTCACTCTCTGGGAAGTCAACTATCGCGACCTCCCAGTAGAAATAACTGACGCTGTTTTTGGGCCACTTTTAAATCTATAACTAAAAATTTAATATTTAAATAATTTATATTAAGTATTTAAAGAGGAAATAAAATAATAATATATTAATTTATATATTATTACTAGTTACTAGTTAGTAGTTACTACCTCAAAATTAAAATATTAATGAAATACTTTTAGGTTTAAGTGAAATGAGATCTATGACTTACTATTTTTTTAATCTCATCTATATAATTCTTACAAAACGAAGACAGCAAAGCTGTTCATTTCATTACCTGTAAACAAAGAACATTTATTATAATGATTAACACTACAATATTGAATAATATCAAAATTTTGAGTAAACGGACTTAATTATTATGTTATCTTGTTGTCATGTACCTAAATAATAAATCTGGTGACAATATATTGTATGTATTTAAAACAATATTTGTAATAATATTAGTTTTGGAGACTTAATTGACTTTATTAAATTATGATAAATACGTTAATATAATAATACAGTTAACTGGCACCATGACTCAAGGTGACTCGGTTTATTCATTATCTTAGCTTCGATTACCTTGTAATTAATTAGACAAATTTTATAAATAAACGAAATATATAAGTAATATTGATATAACAAAAACGTAAATTCACATTCACTCTTTCATAAAATTAACATTTGGCATTCTCAATTCCAGAAATTTCGACACGTGGAGCACACTATCACCTGCATCATGGGTCAAGAACAATCACTCGCACAGGCCAGCGTTGCGCCAGTGAGGCACTATCAAGATAATTACGCAAACAGAATTCATAGAGCATCATCCGTTGACCTACCAACCGACTACCATAAAGACTACCGCAAGTTACGAAGAAGCACGGACAGTTACAAGAGCGACAATTCTTCAACAGAAAGCAGCGGGTACAGAAGCGGTTCGAGTGCTTATGATCGGCGTTCAGACAGATCATCCAAAGCCAACTATTACTGCATACCACTGTATAAAAACGATCACTACAAAGAGATCAATAAAGAACTCTACAGGCAAGTCAAGATCCCGAAAGATAAGCGCCATAAGCTTCAACCTTTCAATGATAACGAAATAAAAAGCGAACGCATCAAAAGTTACCTTAGCGATACAGAAAAGGCTAAATTAAAGCCGGCCCCAACGCCTAAGAAGGCGGGAATACGAAATTATACACCTAAAATTATATCTGCTGAGGAGCAGACGAAGAAAGATAGTTGGATATAAGAAAACGACTATAGGATAAGTTGTAAATATTAGTAAGGTAGTAAATGTATTGGGAATTTAATAATGGAGGCGGCTGGAGCATTGGCGAGCTTGGCACCATCGCCTATCACCGTGCTAGGTCTGATACCACTCCTGGCTCTCGGGATTACGTATTTCAGATATCAGCAATTCGATCCAGAATCTTACATAGCAGATTTAAACACTGTGAGTATTGTCATCATGTATATTTTTTGGACCGTTAAATACAGTTAACAGTAGAAGTTAATTAAACATTTTAAATAAATAAGTTCTATAGCGAATTTCTGCTTAAACCGCTGACCTAATCACAAAACAATAATGTATGTAGAAGTATTTTTAAATAATACGGACTAAACTTTTCTATGTAGTAGATGATAAAATAAAGTGCTTTATTTTCATTTTAAATCTTTGTGTTAATTTTTGTAAATAATAATACGTTAAAAATATAATTTGGGATCGCGAATGCAACTCTAATGAGTGAAATGAAATTAATGTTAACTATTTTATATCGAATTAACAATTTTAACGAAATTTAAAAGGGATCCGTATAGGCACTTTACACTGTTTTCTAAAATTGTTTTAATTCATCTATTTTAGATTATGCCGATCTACGACTTCGTGATTGTGGGCGGAGGTTCAGCAGGCGCTGTGGTCGCATCTCGACTGTCAGAAGTTGGCAACTGGACAGTATTACTACTGGAGGCTGGCCAAGATGAAAACGAAATTTCTGATATCCCTGCATTGGCCGGCTACACACAGCTCTCTGAGATGGACTGGAAATTTCAAACAACGCCCTCTCACAACCGCTCATATTGTTTAGCTATGAACGGCGATCGCTGCAACTGGCCTCGAGGCAAAGTCCTCGGCGGTTCCAGCGTACTCAATGCTATGGTGTATGTAAGAGGAAACAGAAACGACTATGATCTTTGGGAAGCTCTCGGAAACCAAGGCTGGTCGTACGATCAAGTACTACCATATTTTCTTAAGTCAGAGGACAATCGAAATCCGTACTTAGCAGACACTCCTTACCATGGCACTGGCGGATATCTAACTGTACAGGAGGCTCCGTGGCGTACACCACTATCAGTGACTTTTTTAAAAGGCGGTATGGAACTGGGTTACGAATTTCGCGATATTAACGGCGCGAAACAAACCGGTTTCATGTTGACCCAAGCGACTATGCGCCGTGGGAGTAGGTGCAGTACGGCCAAAGCTTTTATCAGACCGGTTCGTCATAGAGAGAACTTACACGTCGCTTTAGGTTCGCAAGTCACGAGACTGTTGATCAACCCCGTCAAAAAGCAAGCATACGGAGTTGAATTCTTCCGCAATGGCGAACGTCATAAAGTCAGAATTAAGCGAGAAGTCATTATGTCTGCCGGTGCCCTCGCAAGTCCTCAAATACTCATGCTTAGCGGGATCGGGCCGGCGGAACATTTGAAGGAACACAACATCCCTGTTGTAGCTAATTTAAAGGTTGGGCACAACTTGCAAGACCACGTCGGCTTAGGCGGTTTAACATTCGTCGTCAATAAGCCTGTTACATTTAAAAAAGACAGATTCCAATCTCTCTCCGTCGCCATGGACTACATTTTACATGAAAAGGGACCAATGACCACACAAGGTGTGGAGGGATTAGCCTTCGTCAATACAAAATACGCTCCTACTTCCGGTAATTGGCCCGATATACAATTTCACTTTGCACCAAGTTCAGTGAACTCAGACGGCGGCGAGCAAATACGGAAAATTCTCAACATACGTGATAGAGTGTACAATACAGTGTACAAGCCGATAGAAAGCGCTGAAACCTGGACGATACTTCCACTACTATTGCGTCCAAAAAGCACTGGATGGATAAAACTGAAAAGCCGTAACCCATTCCAACCTCCCTCGATTGAGCCTAATTACTTCGCTTATAAGGAGGACATACAAGTTTTAACAGAAGGCATTAAGATCGCCTTTGCCCTGTCAAACACAACAGCGTTCCAGCGCTACGGGTCACGACCCCATACAATTCCTCTGCCTGGGTGCCAACACCACCCCCTATTCAGCGATGAATATTGGGAGTGCTGCTTAAAACATTTCACATTCACAATATACCATCCAACCAGTACGTGTAAAATGGGCCCGAAGTATGACCAAAGTGCGGTAGTTGATGCGAGGTTACGTGTCCATGGGGTTGCCAATTTAAGAGTGGTGGACGCAAGCATCATGCCCACAATTATAAGTGGCAACCCCAATGCTCCAGTGATTATGATAGCTGAGAAAGCGTCAGATATGATCAAAGAAGACTGGCTTGTGTTATGACCGTGTTGAGTGATAAAAACTGAAAGTGTTAGTTCTAAACAAATATTTATGTCACAAAGTACTTTACGTTGTTTATTACAAAACAAATATTGTTAAGTATGTACATAATAGTATACGTACTCGTTAATATTTTAAATAAATAATTGTTACATTTATTTTTCTTTTATTTACCAGTTAAATATGTTTTAGTTCAATTTGCACCTTAGTTAAAATCAGACTAAGAAGAAAAATAGTCGATATTCGTTCCGCCATTCTGTTATACATATAAACTATTGAAATTTGAAATTCAAAAAGCCACAGGCACTATCATACGATTTTTTTTTATCTCGTGTCTGAATGCTTTACAAAAGAGATATTACGTATATATCTTGTACCATACCGTTATGTTATGCTATGCTCTGTTTACACGTAACTCAGTGAATAGCTTTTTCTAATTAAACCAAAAGGTAAATTAATTTAGGCCATATTTATAAAGTATACGCAACTTGATTAGAGAATAAATAAAATTATATGTATTATGATGTATCGCTAGTAGTAGTAGTAGTTATATTCAAAAACACACATAAGTTCTGTATAATGTGAGATAAGTCCTGGCGCCAACTTTTTTAATCACCGCACGGTAGAAATCTTACAACTTAAAAATTAAATACTGTTATATGATTTTATATAAACCCAATAACTTAAAACAATATGGAAAATAATGGGTTTGAACCTACAGTTTCTGCATTACCTACTATAGAAATAAAACCATATTAATATGGGAAATATTTTTTAATTTGCTATAGCGCCATCTGTCGCGGATAGTTCCAACTACGTTAAAAGAAAAAAAAGCAACTGTTAGAAGCCATGTTAAAGTTGTTTATAATAACACTAGAGGGCGCTATCCAACAAATATAACAGACGATAACGAAAAATTATTTTTTAAAATATCTAGAACACATTTCACACATCATAAAATTTAAATTATCATTTGTTTTTGTTATTAAATAATTAATAAATTTGTTTAAATTTTAACAACTTAGTAATTTAAATTTGTTAATTAAAGAACATATCTCGTAGTCTAGAAAATATCTAGAACACAAAACCTTCATGCTTAAGGAATACGAGAGAAGGAAACCCATATCCTTGCTTTCGATGGCACAGATTAAGTATTTAGGAAAAATAATACGAAGTACACCTTTTTTATCAGTAACTATTTTGTAAACATAAAACCATAGACTAAACATTCGTATGTCTCTCGTCCTAAGCCGCTCTCACCAATTGAGCAAGCGGGTATTTCTGTACTCAACATTTCGTTTAACACTTCGTATACATAAGGAAGTTAGTAACACAGGTCATAGTTATGTAAGTGATCAAATAATAGGTCGCATGACCCAGTGACATTTCCGGTGTAAGTAAAACTAGGTCTATACCTAGTTGAGCCTATGCTCAAAAGAGCCAAATAGTATTATAGGTATTTATGGCAAAAATTAGATTACAAAAGCTACTATATATAAACACGATAACTTCAATCTTTGACAGGTCGAAAGTGTCATCTAATATATACAATTAATTTTATTAATTTTTTTATAATGTGGCATTAAAAATACATGCAACCCTTAATTTTCACCCCTCTACGATCAACCCCTATTTTTATTTGTTAATTAAAACTTATGAAAACCTAAGAGTTTTCATTCCGGAAAACTGAACATTCGCTGGTCGCAAAAAGGCTAAGTAAAATCACATTAAGGAGAAACGAAGTTCGCGGGGGCAGCTAGTCTTTCTATAAACATCTGTAATGGTTACTTCGTTTAGTGGTTTCTATAATTGAACGATATAATAATATGTCGTGCCTCCGTTTAGTTCTAAATTCTAAAAACGGAGCGCTTAATAAATTTCTCATACAAAAATTATTCGTAACTTATTTCATTACGGCAGCTATTCTATTTTACAAACAGTAAGTCAAACCATCCTTGTTCATCACGTCACTAAAGCCAAATCACGTAGTTCGTAACCAACGTGCTTCGGCTCACGAACTCATGATTCGTAGCGTCAAGTTCCTTATTCGATGTCGAAAAAGGAATTACCTACGGAATATTGCACTTTTTATTTTTTATAAGTGCACTTCATTTACAAAGAGGAATTATTCAGTAAGTCCGGTAAATAAAATTTATAAATAAATAATATTTCATCTGTTGTGCTCGATAATTTATTCTTGTTATTCATTAGAGAAAGATGATCAAAATTATATATGTATTTAATATATTTATTTATTTATTAAGGGAACTAAACAGATACATCTCTATACAGTAAAAATAAAATAAAAAAAGTGTGTGTGTGTCAGCTACGACGCACGATTGGAGTTTACTCCTTACGAACGATAAAATGGCGATAATGTTCTGTGGCTGTCGACCATATTTTCATACTAAAGGTGGTAAGAATATATGTTTTTATAATATAAATGTTTGTAGTAGTAATAAAATGTACCTACATCATCTATGCCCAAATAGGATTTTCTTTCTGTGACCAAAGTTACCTTTATAGTAAGAGAAGAATAAGAATGTACAATCTTTTTAGTTTTAATTTCACTGACCATTACTATTGACAAAACTATCTAGATATCTTTGACGAGAAAAAAGGAAATAGCGAAAAATAATTTTCTCTCCCCAAATTTATGTTTTTTTTAATCGATATCTCGATAACGATGATCGATGTGTGAAAAATGTAAAATACCATTGTAGATCGTGCAAAGAGCAACAAAAAAATATTCTTCAAAAAATTTCGTATCTCAATGGGGAACCAAGTTATGATGAAAAAACTGAATTTAACCCTTTTTTCAAGATGGCGGAAATTGCACAAGGTTATTTTGGTCGACAATTTGAACTTAAGCTTTTCTAGCGGCCCCCCACGTAATATCCAAAATTTGGCTTTCTCGGTTCATTTTCATTTCTAACCCGATTTTTCCGACGTAATGACTGGACTACACACATACTTCATAAACGAAAACGAGATAATTAGATAATAATTTAGGTGATTTGTGTTTTACATATATAATATACTACGTTAAGTTAAGCGTATCTATTAATTCAAAATTTTGCATGAAAAAAGCGTTATTATTATCTTAATAGACAAACAGATGATCAGCCTTCTCTACCTGACACACGGTGTCGACTTAACGATGTTTTCCTTCAGCGTATGAGCAAGTATTAAATGTCCACATGGAAAGAAAAGTCCATTACCCCAACACTGGTCTTTATAAATACACTACAATAGACTTAAAATTGTCTTCCTAAAAAAACATTATGCCTAGTTCCATACAAATAGCTATCATCACGTGGCTTAGCGAATACTACAATTATATAATACAATAATAAAAGATGACCCAGTAGCATATAAATTCATCTCACAACCCTACAGCCGTATGTGGCATAGTTGGGCATGGTTACAATCGCATAGGCACATTCGCAATACCGTGTGATGTTGCGTGGTCTCACATCGGGGCCACCAATGCTGGCACTCACGTACGCCGAATTATATAAGATTATTTTACGCAAAATCAACTAGACGTATCGATTGAGTTCTTTGTTTCTCCAAATATGTATTTTTGTTATGACTTGTTTGAAAGTATAAATACAAAACTGTAGATTTATTACGTTCGTTCAGGAAGATGATTTAATATTCGACTTGTTCAAGCCATCGCAGAATATGCTTAAAAGGAGTATTAAGAATAGCCTTCATCATGTACACACCCACGTATATATCCTGACTTACACACCATCACAGAACACACCCGAATTAGGTAGACTTTTTCTTTCTAAGTTTCGTAAATGTGTGTTTTTTTTATATATGTAGGGGAGACTGGGTACACTTGATCCCTAGGGGACACTTGGTAATCTTTATTAAAAAATCTACTAAATGCGCAATCTTTTTTTAAACTAGCAACACTTGTTTGTTTATGGCAAGGTTAACTTTCTGTCATAGTTTCGTTGGACAAATATCAGTAGTTTGCAAATGGCCGGCAATCGAAATTTTCTGTGGTGATTTATATAAAATTTGGTAAGTTTTAACACGACATATTTAATAAAGTGTGATGGATTCGCTTTTTTAAAATGTGTATAGCTTTTAGAGCATTGTTTTTCCTGTGGTTTGACGCTTGTTGTTATGAAATAAGTAGTAAAGTGTTTAGAGTGATGCATGTTTCATAACCTCAATGTATTTGGGGAGATTTGATCCTCTTCCATAGGGGTGAATTGATCCCAGGGATCATGTGTCCCATAAGAGGATCAAGTCTACCATACATAAAATATTTACTTTATACTTTTATGGCGCAATTATTTATTGGTATTTAATTTTTAGAATACGATGCCGCGAAAGTATAAAACTAAAGAAGGTTCAAGAAAAAGAAAGCCAATCGATAAAGAAAAACTAAAACTTGCGGTAGCTGCAGTTCTGGCCGGAAATACACTAAAAGGCACTGCAAAACAATATTCGGTACCTCTCATGACTTTGAAAAGATATGCTAGAAAGCAAAAAGAAAATGACGAGGAAATATCATACGAACCCAACTACAAAAAATCGCAGATATTTTCAGACCAAGAAGAAAATGATTTGGAAGAATATTTGGAAACCGCTAGTAAGTTGTATCATGGCCTCTACCCTAAGAAAGTACGTACGCTAGCTTACCAGTTCGCTAGCAAGAATAAAAAGAAGATTCCTATCAGTTGGGAAGTTAAAAAAGAGGCAAGCTACGATTGGTTTTGGGGTTTTATGGAACGCCATAAGAAATTGTCGTTGAGAAAACCCGAGGCTACAAGTCTATCAAGGGCCACTAGTTTCAATCGCCATAACGTGCAGGCATTCTTCGCAAATTTAAAAAGTTTGATGGAAAGATTCAATTTCGATCCTTCGCAAATATTCAACGTGGACGAAACAGGTATAACAACCGTTCATAAGCCCAAAAAAATTGTTGCTTGTCGAGGCCTAAAGCAAGTGTCGAAAGTGACATCTGCCGAAAGAGGAGA